GGTGGGTTTTCTAGCGAGCTCTCGTTTTTAAACGTTTGAATTTCTCTTATTTTCTCCCGTGCTTGTTGTTTTTTATTTATGTTTAATAGAAATAACATTATGGTTGTGGGTGTGATGGTTATGCGTGACTATTATGGGAAAAGGTCGCAATTTAACCCGTGTGTCTTGTGTGTGAGCGGCCACATGCGCTCCGTCGGTCGCTAATTTGGCTAGCTGATGCTATAGGGCTAAAACTATTGAGTGGCTCCTCAGTTGTTACGAGATTCCGTAGCAATTCTTAGTTTTTACTCGGAACATTTTTTTCTAATGTTATTGTTATTTTTCTAGATTTGTAGGCGACCACCGGTACAGCCCATCCAAACATGCAGAACGACGCTGGTGAATTCGTGGACCTCTACGTCCCCCGTAAATGGTGAGTGTTAGAGTCATTTAACGTGAATTCCTAAACAAGATTACGTAAGTAGTTACAATAAAAATCATCCATCTCATTTAGGTCAACTCGAGGTACTTGAACGAATAACAAACTGTTACAATGGTCAAATATTGATACTGTTTGTTTTTGCAGCTCTGCTAGCACCAGAATCATTGGGGCCAAGGACCATGCCTCCATCCAGATCAACATTGCTGAGGTAAAAATTAAAAACACCTGACAGTAAAACACCCGTTCAATAGTGAACAGGCTGTCATGTTTTTGTGTTGGGTCTTAATGACATCTCTGAGTACACATCCAGTACAAATGATTATACTAACCTCTTGTGTCAGCGTTGAGACTTAATGAACATTTTAAAAATATTTATAAATGGATAAAGTATACGTTTGTCTTGTGTCATTTATTAACAAACACCATAAGCAAAATGGTTGTTTTAGAGGTATGTAACCATTTTACACTTGACTAAAAGACTGGTCATCAAGGGACTTTAAAATGGTGATAATATTCAAACCTTGACTAGACTAAAAAAGAGAATAAGATATCTGGATGGTGAATATTTCTCTTATTTGCTAAATTTGCAGTTAAACATGAATGCTGGTTAAATTGTTGGGTTTTTCTTTTTTAATTATTATTATTATATATTTGACCTTTATTTTACCAGTAGTACCCACCAATTCCTGCAGCAGTCCACATTAAAAAACAAAGTGTTTTTGTTTTAAGAACAACAAAAATACAATCATAACCAACTGTTCATTTTCTAACGGCAGGTTGACAAGGTTACTGGTCGCTTCAACGGTCAGTTCAAGACCTACGCCATCTGTGGCCCCATCCGTAGAATGGTAGGTTCACAGCCTGTTGTGCCGCTTTCATTCGTCTTGACAACATGAAAGTGATTGATTCTTTGAAGCTAATGATTCTTGGCGTGTTCCTAACTATACGTTGGTGTGAAAATAGTCTGTCTGCAATTAAATTGTATTTGTAATATTTCAGCCTAAGTCTGAGAACTGTAATAGTCGCTGTACCTACAGTTGTCATTTCTGTCAAACATCTTTGATTTATTATGTTTATACTTCACTCTTATGTTTAACTGAGCAGGGTCAAGATGAAAATCTTGATCCTGCTCTGATGTTTCTTATATAAACGTTTGTCTCCAATCACTCTAGTTTTTCAGGCAGAGATGTAATGAATTTACTTTGGCCTTACTCTGTATTTTAAACTTTTTTTGACACCAAGGGTAACACTTTTTTTGTTTTTTTTCTACAGGGTGAGTCAGATGACTCCATCCTCAGGCTGGCAAAAACTGACGGCCTTGTTGCAAAGTAAGAACTTAACTAACATACATAGCTAGCTTGGAGAAATACATTTGACATAGTGTTTTATTTTGCTTTTATGTTTTTGTACTGAAATGCAATTTTTTTTTATCTGAAGTTGTTTCTATTGGCCCAAATGTCAGATTGATCAGCTAAACTATTTTTTTGTTTTACAGGAACGTGTAAAAGAAGTGGTGGAACTTTGTAAAATAAAATGGAAAAATAAAACATTTGTCACTGTTCTTTTTTTTTTTTCTTTGAGATTCTCCTCACTAAAATATGTTTCCATTTTTGTCACGATTTATGCAAGTGGTCAGGATGTGAGATAATATTCCAGTAGGTGGAATATCTTCCTTAAATAAATTAAATATACCAAGTACAAGACTTCATAATACAGTACAGAACTGCATTAGTTAACAGGCGATATCCTGGACAGCTATGTAAGCCCGGGGTCTTAAAGTCTATTCCAGTTAATTGTTCTTGTTTTTTGTAGCCGATACTAAACTACACTGGTTCATATTCTTCTTCTTTTTTTAAATTAATACATTTATTAATTTAAACTTGCAAATGTCCAATTAGACAGAGTTAAATATATTTGTAGACCCTCAAATTGTCACGGATTTCAACACGTATACGTCCTTGTAGTGGCGTATTGAAACCAAAGGAGGGCAGCATTGACTTAAAAATACTATTTTTACGGTCATTACTGTATTTCTATAATTTCTGGTAGTATCATGTTTCGATTATCCTTAAACTGTGCTGCACATATCACTAGTTGTTCTCGGTGTCCCTCTAGTGGAACACGAGGGAATTATGCGGATGTTTGTGTTTCCTTGGGGAGATATTTTTGAAAGTCTCTAGAAAGAAAAATGGTAATTTGACGTTCAGTGTTTAAATTGGAGTTAGGAATAAAGTGACGGTAAAATTATTTATAATAATGCAAGAGTTATTGATGCAGAGAACCAAATTAGCTTGATTGCAATACGTTAGGCTATGATGCTGTTTTTTAATGGTAATGGTCATAAACAGTGAAAATAAAAAAATTTGGAGATTTTATTTTTACACAATATGCAAAGTTATTATACATTAAGAAGTTGTTTTTGTTTGTTTGTTTTTTACATTAAAAAGTTGTTTTTGTTTGATTGTTTTTTGTCGGGTAAAATGAAGAGATCATACAGTTTCTTTCTTCTCTTTGCAACATCTGGCTTCACAAATGATTGGACATCAGACGTGGAGGTCACAGTGGGAATAACAGGGCAGGTGGAAGGCACAGGGAGGGAACTGAAGCTGAACACAGTGCAGAGGTGAAGGCCCAGTGGTGTGAGAGCGGTTGCAGGGCGTCTTTAACCTTAATGATAGCTGTCATCAACTGCTGCTTTACTGCATAGTTCCCACACATTCTCCATGTTTGTTCCTCCTGTAGGTGAAGAGACGAGGTCATCGTTAGCTCCTGTCCTTTCTCTATCACAGGCTTTTTTCTCAAAGCTCTGATTGGATGAAACAGATGTGCTTTTTGTTTTTATCTTTTTGCAAATAATTTAGCAAAAACTGACATTTAGGAAAACAACGTGTAATCGATGCTAATTAAATACCTTTTCTCTGATGACTAACGTGATTTTACTCCAACAGTACAGTAAAAAGAAACGAAAATGATTGATTTATTTTATATAGCAGTTAATCTAAAGCAGGTTACGATGGTCTACTTGCTGTAATTGTAGTCCTGTCACGTCTGAATTATCACACCACAAATGTTATTACGAACAAATCTGACTCCGATAATAACGTTTAGAACAGTTGACTCGCACTCTCTAAGCTCCGTGTCTCTCACTCACTCTCGTCCTTTTTCTCTCAGTCTAATGACAGAGTCCAGAAAATGTGGTGTGCACTAAAGCTCTTGAGTTGCATCATGGGAAAATTGCTGGTCTTCAAATGACCAAAACCTGTTAGCCACGAGAAACACTCAGTAGAAGAGGATGTGCCGCGGTTTGTCTTTAAGAAAGTGATCACACACACAAAATATCCAAACCAGAATCAACCTCCCTTTTGTCACCACGAGTCTCAGTCTTAACAAAATGCTAAACATGTGAGACGTTCCTCGGCCTCTGGGAGGAATCGCACAGCGAGTCGCAGCTCGTCAAACAATGATCTTAACATAAAGGGTTGGAAGCCCCTCAAGCTGCCCACCACCTACCTCCCCCACAGCCCCTCCCTGCCTCCCTCACCTGGCCCCCTGCATACCATACCTTAACATACATACACATACACACACACATGCACATGCAGGGGACAAAGAACACTGTGTTCCACTCTTCAAAGAAGGGACTTTGGTCGAGAGGGTCTCACGACTGGACGTCCGTTAAAGATTCTTTATATCCTTAATGGACTGGACGTCCGTTAAAGATTCTTTAAATCCTTAATGTTGACATAAACATAAACATGCAGCAGTGAAAGATGTGGGAGAAGAAGAAGCAAAATGAAAAAAAAGGTGATCTCACGGCAGCCTTGTTAGCTTCTGTTTAACTTTTAACTTCTTGGGTTTTGGTTGATGATTTCCTTCTTTCTCTCCTGTTTGTTGGACTGGATGTTCAGCCACATCAAACCCTCACCCTCATTCCTCATCACCCTCTCTCCTCTCTTGCTATCTTTCCATCTGCGTCTCTTGTCCTTTTGTCCGTCCTCAGCAGCAGCCCCCGTCTCATCTCTCTCGCCGTCTTTTTGTCCGTCCCTCAGATGCTACCAGACTTCAAAGTGAAGGAAGTGAAGCGAAAGAGTCTCTGCTGAGGGAGAGCGACAAAAAGGATGAAGAGAAAGAGTGGATAGAGGGGATAAACATTAGTACCTGTGGTGACATTTGACCTCAAAGACCCGTGAAGTACAACCACACACACAGAGAACAAGGACAAGAGTTGGTGAGAATTGTGCAGAAAATAGTTGAGTTAAGAAGGAAGGAGGCGGAACAATGACGACATTTAACCTGATGTGTTTTTACAACATTTAAAAAAAGGGAAAATGAGAAGTCACTGCAAATTTAATGACAGGATTTTTAGGCCAAATCTCTTTGAATTTTACTAATTGATCCACATTTAGGTACAGTGATAAAAATCTATGAATAAAGAGCGAGTATTTGCTGCTGAGTAACATTGAGAAATATTACTCTTTATTTATTTTTATGTCCATAACAAAGAAAAAAAGTAAAAATAAAATGTTTAACTATAAAATAGTTTAACAATAAAATGTATAACTTTTTAAAATGTTTAAAAAGTTATCGTTGGCCATGTTTTTGTAAAGCCGACAATTGACAAGTTATCGTTGGCCACGTTTTTGTAAAAAAAAAAAAAGGGTTAATTACAACCCATACATAACTCACATAACTCCAAAATCAGTTTGATCAGTTTTATAGTGTAATCTTTATCCATGTGAAATAACAAAATGGAAAGAAAGAAGAGAGAGAGAGCGAGCGAGGCCCCACCACCAGGGCCGTCTGTGAGCTGAAGTGTTTTGTTGGAGGAGACAAAGCGGAGGGCATGCACGTACCTGCCTCAAACACACACTTAGGTCGGTCAACCCAAAACATCCCCTCCCGAGCCCACAGCACTTCAAACATATCCGCTCTCTCTCTCTCTCTCTCTCTCTGTGTGTGTGTGTGTGTGTCATTTGTTTCCTAGCTGATCCAGAACCAGAGGCAGATGGAGCATCTGAGGAATGTTGGTTATAGACAATAAACTTTATTTACTCAATACTGTTATCACTGCAGGACTTTCTACACGTCTGCAGCACACGGTGATAAGAGAATTAAAGTTTTGACTGTGGACCAATGCACTTGGAGGAAAATGAGTTTTTAAAATATTCGAGGATAGGTTTAGTCAAATTTTACGTTTTGTTTTATTTTATGTAAATTTTTTGGACTGACCATGAACACACTCATAGGAAGAACATGCAAACTCCATACAGGATCGAACCGGTGACATTCTAAATGTAAGGTGGGGATGCTAACCACCTCTGCCACCATGTTGCCCCTTCAGTATATTAATATATCGGTGCACAATTTCTTCTCATATAGCCCACTTTTTTAATTACATACTAAGTTTATAATGGACTGCCCCTTTAAGAACCATGAAAACCATGACAATGTTGGAGAAGAACCATCGAGGAGAAGAACATCGTGGAGAAGAACCATCGAGGAGAAGAACCATCGAGGAGAAGAACCATCGAGGAGAAGAACCATCGAGGAGAAGAACCATCGAGGAGAAGAACCATCGAGGAGAAGAACCATCGTGGTTCTCATCTGGTCTTAATTTACCTCATGATTGAACTTTTGAGAACTTTTTTAGAGAAAAAGAGATTTTAATCAAATCCGTTTTTAATGAGCTCCAGTGAATGATGTGAACGACAACCAAACTGCCATGTTAAACTACCGACCCAGCTGCAAGGGCTGATGGGATACCGAGACCTCATCCTGGCCGACGGTCCTCATCATGACGTCCGTCCTTCCTTCACTCTCACTGCTCTCTCTCTTTTCCTCCCTCCAATTCATTCATTGTTGTTCTCTCTCACTTCCTCAGTGTGTGTGTGTTTGTGTGTGTGTGTTTGTGTGTGTGTGTGTGTGTGTTGGGAGCAGCAGGGGGTAAGTGGGTTCACTGAAGGTGTAGTTAAGAGTTACCATGACAACAAGTGGCATATCACCAACTTTGCCTCTGGTCTCTGTGGTAACCAGGAAGTAAAGAAGTGAGGGAGAGAGAGAGAGAGAGACAGAGAGAGAGAGAGAGGTGGAGTAACAATCACAGCATTAAGAGATTATGACATCAGTCTGTAGTTTCTTGTCTTCTTTAATAGAACCCATTTTAGTCTAAAACTAGTGATCATCCAGGAAGGAGAGTGAACTCTGTGTCTTGTGACTGAAGTTTTTGGTAAAAATCACAGAGTTTCCGACCTCTGTACCATCAACCTGCGGAGTCTCATGGTTATTAGAGTGTAATCAAAATCACTCTGTGCAGATCTGGAGGAGAGACCATCAAATCGTACAAGTGCCGCAGTTGTGGGTTTAAATCCTGCAAACAGCCTGTGGAATGTTCTAGTGTGTTAGTGAATGGAGCTCTGAGGCCTTAACACACTCATTCAAGACTTCTTAAAACTACGGGAGGTCGCTGACCTCTGTTCGTGTGTGTGTGTGTGCTCATGCAGGGGTGTGGTTGTCAGTCAGACAGCAGCGCAGCTCAGAGTTCAGTCTGTGCCTGATCGACAGCGGAGGAAGTGGACGTGGACGTGTGAGGACCTCGGACTCTGGACACTGTTACATACAAACACATGGGAACGGGGATTCCTGCCTGATGAAAGTCTTTAACTTTTCTGTTGTGTCTTATTGTGTGTCTTGCTCTGCCAGTCCATCAGTTACAGAGAACATATCGGTCTTGGACTCACCTGAGCAGCTGTTAACTCTCTCTCTCTCTCTCTCTCTCTCTCTCTCTTTCATCTTCTAAAGTGGTTCCTGAAGTCTAATTAGACAGCAGCGCTCCAAAGTCCATGAGAAAAGACAGAGGCAGACGTAAACACACACCTGCTCAGGTGTTCCCAGGAGAGGGAACACATCACTGCCCATGTACGACACCTCAGCCTCAACGTCAACGTCAAGGAGACGCAGGTGAAATAAAGTGAAAAAGACATCGAATTTCACATTTAGAGAAAAATCAAGGTCAGACATTTTTTAAATTAAATTTCCCTTTGACAACTGCGTGTGCCCGTGTCTCTGATCGGAGGGTTGTTGGTTCTAATCCTAGCTCGAGCAAGGCAGTGGTGTGTCCATTAAGCACCGAAAGCTGCTTCTTTCTTTGTCCTGTTTCTGTTTTCATGTGGTCGTTTGAAAAACTGTATTCTGCAGGATCACCTCAAATTCAACGATAAAATCGTGACCATTTTTTGTACATTTTTGGGCATTCTAAAAGACCCTATAAACAAGATAGATAATAAAATAATTATTATAATTATAGTTATTAAGATAATACTATTACAAATTGCCTATAGCTCCAATGTGTTATAATAATAATAATAATTGTAGAGTTTTTTTTATTGTAATACTAGTTCTGAAGTTGTGGAAAAATGCTAAAAAATAAAATGAAAACTAAATTAAACTCAGTGACCACTTGACCTTACTTGTTTAATTAGTTGTTAAGTCGTTACTGGATACAGTGAACCAGATCCAAAACCTTGAACCCTGATCTATTTTGTTATGGTTAGATAACATTTGAGTTTAAGACAACTCTCTGTTTGAAACCTTTACTTCAGTGATCACAGAGACCAGGAATGGACCGGGTGTGTGGTCTCCTGCGTGTGTGTCTGTGTGTGTGTGTGTGCCTGTCTGTGTTTGTCTTTAGCACCTGTCTGACTGATTGGTTTGTTTGGTGTGTTTGTCAGGCAGCCATCTTTCTACGTGTGAGTGAGGTTTGATTTCCCATTTGTTGTTTGGCTTCTGTGGAATGACTTGGCAGAGAGTTCAGACTCCTGACATTAATGAGACGATGACGATGATTTAAGGGCGTTGACATGGACAGATGGTGAGATCTCAAAGAAGGTAAAAACAAAATGTGAAGGAAGTCAGTGATTCAGACTACAAACACGTAGATCTCCTAGCAGAGGATGGTTTCGATCCATCGACCTCTGGGTTATGGGCCCAGCACGCTTCCGCTGCGCCACTCTGCTTCTCTAGTAGACACTTTTTTGTTGAGTCAGAGAGGTACAACCTTGTCTTTCACTTACATAGGTTTGTCATGTGAAGTTAAATTACAGCCAGAGTTAAAGGACTATTACTGAAGGTGATATGATTGGACGACTGCTGTTGTTTTGGAGACAAACCTGGAAGGTCAATAAAAATACAAACATTTCTCACACTCAACATGCAAGTCCTGAGATGTTCATGGTTCACAAAATGACTACCTATGTTAGTTTTAGTAAACAGAAACTTAAGCTACACCTCCTAGCAGAGGATGGTTTCGATCCATCGACCTCTGGGTTATGGGCCCAGCACGCTTCCGCTGCGCCACTCTGCTTCACTGTAGGTGGACTGTTACATCTTTATGTTACATGTATATGAGTTCTTTATGTGAAAATTAAAATGCAGCCAATGTTACAGCACTATTACTGCATTACAGTGCAGCCAATGTTACAGCACTATTACTGAAGGTGATATGATTGGACGACTGGTGTTGTTTTAGGAGACAAAACCAGAGGGTCAGTAGAAATACAAATATATGTCACACTCTGGTACAAGTGCTACAGTCAGTGATTTCAAATCACCCGTAAGGTGTTCAAGCGTCACATAATGTCTAAATATGTAACTTAGTAAACAGAAACTTAAGCTACACCTCCTAGCAGAGGATGGTTTCGATCCATCGACCTCTGGGTTATGGGCCCAGCACGCTTCCGCTGCGCCACTCTGCTGCCACGTTACCTTTAGTTTTTCATTTGGTCTGATGAAGATGTGTAGCATTTCCATTCCATAAGCTACTTACACTCGTTGGGTGTGATGAATATCTCTGCCGGCAGATTTTTGTCACCACGGTCGGTGTGTTTATTTTATGAAGAAGGATTTGATCTCTCTCTTCCTCTCTGTCTCACTGCACACAGATGGAATTAACAGTACCAACAAATGTCAATCAGATCCCGGAGCCATGCTTTGTTGGAGCGGCTTGTTATGTCTACGTCTATTAACACTCATTCACGTGGCATGTGTCCTCATTCATTCATTGGTTGTTGTTTTTCTTCAGTCATATGTTGTAGCCTTATATTTCATGACATGAAAAATATTTGATTTGCAAATTTATGTTGTCTATTATTTGTATTAAAATCATCTCTGCATTCTTTGGGTTGCATTACTGCCACCTGCTGGGTTTTTAAATTTAAAAATGTCCAGGAGAAAGTATTGTGTCCAGTTGCATAGAAATAATAGATCAAACAAGTCAACGGTGGTAAAGCAGCACCTGATCGACAGACCGAAAAATAGTTCCTGGGACTAATTAAAATGACGAGGTTGTTTGTTTGTTTTTAAGAATATTCCCATTCTCTACCTTTAACCAGTGGATTAAGATGTCTCCTCCTCCAACCACAGGTCGAGCCAACACAGACGGGGAGGCAATCAGAGGGAAGGTGGTGGGAGAGAGGGGGACGGAGGCAGGGAAGGAGAGGAAGGCAGTGCCTGCTGGAGCGACACACAGGCGCGGGAGGACGCAAACTTCGACGCGCCGCTCTCCAGGACTAAAAACTCACCCCTTCCTCTCGCTTTGTTTCCCACACAACTTTTTCCCCACCCCCAAATGCGTCTCTAGAGCCGACGTTAACGACTCGGTTCTCCCCCACACCCACCAGTCATTTCTTTTTCTCAACTTCAGTCGGACGGGATCGCTAGGACAGGTGGAAATGATGGCGAGTACCGCGGCGCCTCAGCGCAGCCGGACGCGGGTGTCGCTGCTGCTCTGGCCGCTCTTGGTGGCCTGCTGCCGGGTCACTTTGGCACAGGAACTGCCTGCTCACGGGGTAAACGGCTACAGCCTGCACCCGCCGTACTTTAACCTGGCCGAGGGCACCAAGATCACCGCCACGGCGACCTGCGGAGTGGACGAGACCGGCAGGACGTTGCAAGACCTTTACTGTAAACTGGTGGGAGGCCCGGTGTCCGGGGATCCGAGCCAGACCATCCAGGTGAGGAAGTAAAAAAAAAAAAGTTTCATTACATCCATTACTGCACAGTACTGCTTTGTACGTCAAACATATTTAATTGTTGTTTAATTGTTTGGTTTTCATCGATAAAATGGACTTCATTCGGTTAACCGTGATGTTAACCGTGATGTACTCAGCCCTACGACGTTCCTAGTCATTTATACTTCATTATATTCAAATGTTTAAGTGTATATTCATTGATCAGTTGTACACTAGTACTTTTTTCACTTGTTATTGTGAGTCTCAGCAGCTTCACTCTGTCTTTATTGAGTCAGAGTTAGTGTTTGTTATAACTTTTTTAATATAAATTTTAATTTAAATATTTTCAGTTTATTGCAATGCTAAAACAGTTATATCTGGTTTCACAGTCTTTCATATCAGTTTTTACGACAAGGTTTTCGTTTAACTTTATTGCCTGTTATTAAATTCCTAGTGTCTTATGTTGAACACGCTGCAGATGCCAGAGTTGAACAGAGGGGGGCAGCACTGTGCACCAGGCTCCAGCCTCACTGCTAAATCATTATTTCACGCACTGCTTCCTTTGTGGGACTTGGCCACACTTAACACAGGCCACTTATATAAAAACGGAGGAGCTTCACCCCCCCCCTCACCCTCTGACCAGAGCTTGGTCAGATGAGTTTTTAATGTGATGTGGAGTTTGTGAGGCTGTAAAACAACCCTTGAGCCTGCGGGGGGGGGCACTAGTTGACCTACCAAGGATTACTGCAGTTCTGTGGGTTAAACATTACATCAGCCCACCAGGCGATAACGCACAGACCGACTGTGTCTTTTCAACCTGCTGCCCACATTCCTCGCGGTGCCTGACCCCATCCCTCTGATCAGTCTGGGTTTAGTCACTTTTATTTTCTATCTTCACCACTGTCCTATGAGAAGATTCTAGATAAATATTGTCTTGACTTGACTTGACTTTTTCTTTTGGCTCCACTCGAAAGTTAGCGATCATCATGGTACGCATGTCACGTCTGAAGACATACTGCCAAATTACCAAGTGACTCTTCTGGTCTTAACCTCCAGAAACTGTTCTTCATTTGGTTCCTGGATCCACACTGCAGCACAGTTAGCTCAGTGCAGCTCTAATGATAAACCAAGAAACTGTGGTCATTAACACACGGAGGCTGCGTTGTGTGTTTAGGTTAAGAGGTTTACCCCGTTGTGCCGGGCCGTTGTGGTTCACCCACTTGTTCCGTTCACACGCACGAGGCCAGAAAAGTACCTCAGTGTTCAGGGTAATCCTGGTTTGATTTGACAGCGATGTGATGTTTCTATGAAATAAACCAATAGGAGAAGAGATTACAGAAGAGTGTGTTTGTTAGTGTTTTCCTCCTGTGAGCCTCATTAGCCTAAACAACTTTGTTCAAATCTTTAGTAAAACATTTAACCTGCGGAGTAAATCCTGACTGTCATAGTTTGACAGAGTTTGGGCCAAATATGGTGATAAACAGTTGGCTTTTACCACTGGACCCTAGAGTCTAAAAAAAGGTGGACATGCTCATGCTCGACTCTCCCATCATGTACCTGGTGGTCTTAATTATCTCCAGAGTGAAGCGTTCTGCTGAGTGTTCATTGGACGAGGCCTGGTAATCTGGGTTTATGCTGTGTGTTAGTGCTGGTGGTTGGATGCACGTGTGTTTGGGAATGTAACCTGTGAAGACAAGGTTGTGATTTCACCTGGATCTCTATCCAAGTCCACGCAGCTTCCATTTCTGATAAAAATAGATGTGTGATGTGAGAGGGGTGAGGAGTGAGGAGTGAGGAGAGACAAGGAGGCAGGACGGTTGGGCTAAAATGGTAAAATACAGTGCACAAGGAGGCAGGACAGTTGGGCTAAAATGGTAAAATACAGTGCTAGTTGGACAAAAAGTGTGAGTTCCCCAATTGGAAACTTGGTGTGAGTGGTCTGCAGGCCAGCCAGAACCTGGAGTGCACATTAGAATTTACATGTAAGTGAATGTGAGGCTGAGTCACCAGCAGGGGGAGGATATCCTGCAGGTGAGAGTCTGTCACTGAGCCAACCTGACTTCCTGCTCGGCATCATACAGGATGAAACGTTGATTAAAATATTTACGTTTTCACAAATTCCCAAAGACAAACTAGTAGATGTTATGGACACTTAAAATAAATAAATCTGGCAAATGTAACTCTTTGGTGGGCCACAGCTGGCCCACATTCCTTACTAATGTTTGTTTAATGTATAAATCTGGCAAATGTAACTCTTTGATGGGCCACAGCTGGCCCACATTCCTTACTTTGGGCATAGAAGAGATTTTCCTTCATTTTGTGTTGGCTAAAATTCATCCAGTTATTTTTAAAATCAAGTATTTTTCACTCAGTTTTGCAATTTTTGTAACCATGTAAGCACATTATGGCCCACTCACTGGCTCATGGGTAAATTATCTGTTTGATTTTAGGCTGGTTCTTGGTGAGCATTTACTACTTGCTACCGTTTGACTTGTTAAAAGCTATATTTCATCAACCTTGTTCAGATTTCCTGGGTTATCGGGTCATTTCCTGAAACCCCCGACCTCTGCCTTCATATATTGACTGAAGGTGGTTTGCTTTTTTTTGCCGCTTTGTTGCTGTGACTCCATGGGGTTGGTGAGCACATTGTACTGTATGACACACTGGGATAATTACAGCTCTGCAGAACATGAGGAATGTGGTTCTGGAGAAAAGCTGTCTGCAGCAAACGTGATTGTTTCACCATTAAAATCCAACCCTAACACCTGGACAGGACTTAGAATAAAGAGTTTAATACAGCTGAAGCTTTTATATCAAGTGGAAAAACGTAGCCGCTTAAAGTCGTAGAGGAAACAGTAACACGCGGAATCACACGGAGGACGACAGGGCGCACAGTGGAGGGGTGGAGTCAAATGCTGCGCTGCGACCTTTCACCTCCGTGACCTGCAGAGATAACATCTTAAAACCCTGCCTTTTGTTCAAGTCCGTGCTTGTTTAGTTCGTGCTAACGCTTACATAGCCACCAGAGGTTTGAGTCAAACGCTTAGACAACCAAACTGGTATTACCTGAGGGCCACAGGACAATTGAGAAAACAATGTGGTGAGAAGCCGGTTCAAGTGGATATGAGCGAGGGCCGTGAACGTATTTTCCGTAAGATTCCGCACGGCTGTTGAACTACAGCACGCTTTAGTTTGTGTTGACTTCTATACCATGTGGTGTGGGCTTTGAAAATGACAGTGTTTGATTACGGTAAACCCCCGTGGGGAGTGTCGGCCGTGGCTGCAGTGAGACTGTAGATCGAGTTTGTGAATTGATTTAGCACAAAAAAAGCCAGACTGGGCCAAAGGGATAGAATTTACAAAACAACCCAAACCCACGAGCAGGAATATAATAGCAGCGATAACCACAGTCGTACATTAATCTACAGTGAGTGGAGTCAACTTTCTGTTCAGGCACCAGAAACTCGACCCAGGTAGCTGCAGGGACAGACACTGGAAATAAATCCACTCCTTTATTAGGGTTCACGGTGACTGTGTTAAGTCTTTCAAGTTTCTATGCATTGTGTCTGGACTGAAACCCTGACACCTAGGGGTCGGGTTCATACAGGCGATATGTAAGACAAGAATTATTAATAATCCACTGTGCACAAAGTCTGGTCCAGAAAGAAACTGCAGAAACTGACTGGATCTTTGCACTGGCCCTTTAGTGTTTCCATGGGCAAAACCAGAGCAGGTTTAACTGTAGTCTGGTTTTGTCAGTACAGTACAGTTTGACCTACTGTGTGTGAGTTTTGGACACGAGGTACAAATCTCCCATCTACAAATTCACAAACTGCATCAAGTGGTGTTGAGTTCAAGTGATGTGATCTACTGAGGAATTCAACCGTGGACGATAAATAGTGACGTTGTAGTGAAAATGTGGTATAGCTGTGTTTCCTATGAACCTGTACATTCAGGGCACTCTTTGACGTCACTTTTGTATGAACCAGAACGACTTGTTAACCTTCTCCGTTTCTCTGAAGAATAAAGATAAAGAAGGAACGTTCTTGTCATGTAAGCCTCCACCGGTGACTCACTCCACGTCTCTGCTGTAACTTCTCAGGGTCAGTACTGTGACATCTGCAACCAGGGGGAAAGCGATCGAGCCCATCCCATCACCAACGCCATCGATGGAACCGAGCGATGGTGGCAGAGTCCACCTCTGTCCCGCAGCACTGAGTTCAATCAGGTCAACGTCACCCTGAACCTTGGACAGGTAGGAACTGGGACTTTAATCGTTTGTGGTTTTGTTTGTTCACTGACAGAATGTTTTCTGAGTGAAGATGTTTTCCGTCACCTTCGTCTGTGGGCTTCTTTTGGCGGTCACCCCACAGTAGACCTGCCTCCAGTATGTCCTCTGTCTGTCCTCAGGACATGTCTAAACAACTTTCCTTCTTTGACTCATTCAATCTCAGGATTTTTTTTTTCAGTATCATAAAACTAAGGTGTACAGTTTCGTTCCTCTCCCTTAAATCCACCACAAAATCCAAAATCTTCATTAATGTCTGTTTCACTTCCTCTGCACAGCCAATGAAACTGACTGGACTTTTGCCACAGTGATTCAATCTTCCACTGTAATTGTGCCTGCTGCCAAAGAGCGCGATAAACTGTTGAAACTTTCCTCTCAGATGTGAAATAAATCAGGACCTTAAGTACCGCAGCGGCTACAAATATAAACATTCAAGTTTTGGATGGTTTTCGACTGAATTCTACCGAGTTCTTTGGTATTATTAAGTATCTAAACAAACGAGACCACGACCGTTCATTTAATGTTGGTTTAAATCAGTACTTCTACTGGGGGAGCGCGGCGAGGTCACTAGGTGGCAGCAACTCATACAGTGGTTTGAACAGATAAAAATATACACGTTATCAGGTTCTCAATAGTATTTGAATTTGCGGGGTGTGGGTCACAGGGGGGCGTGAAAACATCTCTGTCCCCAAGGGGGCGCATGACAGAAAATAACTGAGAACCACTGGTTTAAATGAACAAAAACATTTTCCCGGGTCACACTTTGACTTCATTTTAAATACAAAATATCATCTAAAGAATCGACCATGAAAGTCGTGAGGAGTTTGGCTTCAGACGAACACGTTGATTCCTTCAGCGTCTTCAAAAACTGCTTTTGTCCGACCTTTGTGTGGATGCGTCTCTTTTACGCGGGGCCCTTTCTTCAAGTGCCCTCCTTGTTCAGGGGGCAAATAAGAGACGTCCACTGTGTGCTCAAGCATTTGAGTGCATACGTTGCGTGGATGCACTTCTTATCCCTACAAGTGGCCGTCCAACCCCTGCTTTGTGTCTCCGTCCTTTATCCCCCTGTAGCCTTTTCTCATGGTTTTATAAATTCTAATTAGAGAAGCAGGAAGACGTGTGTGTCTTTGTAGCTCAGAAGATCTCCACAACTTCACAAAGTTAAATACAGAAGTGGACTGACCAGCAGGGAGCAGACTCTTATATTCTGTTATATTCCGGCTCTTTCTTTTTTTTTAACTACTGCGCTCATGTAGTAGCTGCTCGGACATGAACGCTTCGTAGAGACGGAGGAAAAGCGGTGTTGAAGGGTCTGTGGTTACCAGGTTTCAGTTTTGGATGAAAGAATGTAGGTGAGCTTGGGCATGACATTTTGTGTGTGCGTGTGTGTGTGTGTGTGTGTGTGTGTGTGTGTGTGAGTGTAAGTGTATCATGCCTCACTCCTCTACCTCTGCCTGAATAAAAGACAAAGAGAAGAGGGAAAGACTGGAATGCCAGTTAACCTGTCTGAACCCGCGGAATAGGGGATTGTTAATGTGCACCCCCCACCACTTCATGTATATATATTTTATATATTTTTTCATATATATATTGTATATTTCATATATAAGTATACAGTATATGTTTCATATATATACTATATATTTCATATATACATATACAGTATATGTTTCATATACATATATATTTCAGTAATTTTTTAAAATCTGAAAATGTGTCATTTACTATAAAAACTGTTCATCATCGGGGTATATTGTTCGTCAAATGTATGAACTTCCTGTTGCGGTGACTGTGACGACAGAGTACCATTGTTGTTCTCTTGCTACCACTCCTGGGACAACACTGTGTGGAAAAAACTTTGAATAAATTGCAAATGTGTCAAAAGACCAGAGGCCCCTCTATGATAACGTCATGTGTGTAATTTTTTTTTTTTTTTTTCCGGTGGACTGATGTCTGTATGGTGCACACAGATGACTAATTTATGCATATTATAAATGAAGTTTTCCAACCCCACTTTGATTTACAGTGAGTTGCCCTTGAGCAAAGTGCAGGATGTAAATTACTCTGACATATTGTGAGGTAAAGAAGAGTCGGCCACATGGAGTAATTTAATAAAGTGCTGGTTGAGGCTTTTTCTTCAGCTTTTAGATTACAGATAAAAAAAGGAGGTGAGGTCTCATTATGAGTATCAGCAAATCACATCTTTACAGCAGTGGGTTATGAACCAGGTACAGTCTGTTCTCATCCAGCTTTGACTTTGTCTCCAGGAATTTAGGGCCTATTTTGTTTCAGCAGTTAACAACCTGAGCGCTGTGGATTATTAAAGAAACGCCGCTATTGATGACTTCCCCGTTTTTTTCAATTCTCAGATTAAAGGCCACGAGTTTATGTCGTCAATGTGTGAAACAAATGTTCTCCTAATCACCTCCAGATAACGACAGCCCAAAATAGAGCATTTCTATCTCAGACTTTTTCCTATCGTCCCCTCACATTCCTCTTTACCATTATTCTCCTCACCACCACGTCTCACCCTTTTAAGGTATTGGCTTTTTTATCCCCCACCACTCATTCCTTTCTCCCACCACAATCCCACAGTTTCCACCTTAATGCTGTCATTTAGTTATAGCCAGGGGCTATCTCTGTAGAGTAAAAGGTCAGAGGTCGGAGGCACTTTGACCTCACAAACACATTTCTGCAGTTACTCAAAACGTAATAGGTTAATTATGACACTTTTAAGACAAACGTTTTACAGCTCGTGGGAGGTTTTTAAGGTGTTTTAAAGTACGATTGGCTACGGCTGTTTATTATTTGTAGTGTTGCAAGAACTAAACGTTGTTACTAAAGCAGTATCTGCTCTTTGCAGTAAGTGCTAGCAGTAGGTGAGTCATTCATTTCTCATGAATCACTACAGGCTGCTGTGATTGTTGTTAGCCAAAAGCTAAATGTTGCTAAACAATATAACAAATTCACAAATTCTGTGAATAAAAGTGAATAAAAACCTGGATTTAAAAAAACTGAATTCATGTTTTAAAATAATGATATAGTATTAAAAACAAAATGCTTAACTTAAATTAAAATCATGCTTCAAAATAATGGGATAATAAAAAAAATTCTTTTTTTTCTTTCACCTTTTGACCCAGTTCATACTCAGCATAATGTTGTTCTTGCTAACAGGCTAAGAGCTAAAAGGGTTGAACCAAATAAGTCAATGCAGTAGAAACATGTGACCAAAGAGTTTTGTTACAGTACATTTTTGTCAGCTATTCCTACGGGTTTGTGATTTTAGCATGCTAGTAGGAACAGCTAGTACCGGAAATGTTTAGACACATGATGAGGGGTTAAGCATTGATATCAGTGGATCAGCTTCATAAATAAATCGTTTTGGAAAAAAGACACACTTATCAAATTTCAAGGATTTAGTGTTTCAAAGGTTCAAGGATTTCAAGGATGTCAGACCACAAATGGAATGGTATGACATTGCGATTCAAGGACCTGGGTATATTAATAAATACATTTAAAAAGATTTTTTCTTTTTTTTCATTCACCTTTTGACCCAGTTCATACTCAGTTATTCAACATTATCATATCAGCCTGGAGGTTTTTTTACTTTGCACTCAGATGTGTGTGTGTATGTGGTTTCATTCCACAGGTGTGTGATAGTGGAAGCATTGTTTTCACAGATGGGAGGGGGTGTGTGAGAGGAGAGAACAATAATAGATAGATTGCATGAAGGAACTGTAAATACAGACAAAATTCCCAAGAAGAGATGAGGAGGAGGAGGAGCGGAAGAAGGGCTAGTGGAAGTAGGCTGAGGGCATGGAAAGGGGAGGGGCAGAGATGACAGAGGAGGGGATGTGTTTTGTTTCGACAGCCTGTTATTAGAACATGGTATGGGCTTTGCTTTGGGAACGTCTGTTTGTGTGTGCATGTTCTCCAGGTGAGGTCTTCTCTTTCCATTATGGTCCTGTCTTCAGTCACAATTTGTCTTTCTGTCATCATAGCTGCCAGAAACCTCAGCTTTACACAAACGTACGAGGCCTCACATTTGTCTTCGTTGACTCCCGTCGTTCCTAAAGTGTCTCTTAAAACAGATACTAAAACCCAAATCTTTATTTGTCTCTTCTTTTTTGACATGCTCCAGTCCAAATTTCACTGCTTTTGATTTATTTCCTACCACTTTTCCATGTACAGAAATGCAGCACTTTGCTTCAAATATGATTTGATTTTTTTTTTGTCCTTAAAAGAAAATCAACTTTTCTCACCTGCAGGGGGTGCAATAATCTGAAAATGATCTTTAATCGCACACTCCTCTTCAAACAACACCTCCATTTTTTTAAAGTTAATTTTCATTATTTCATAATAATTTCATTATTATTATCACAGCAGTTATTACAAAGCAAGTTATGTCACAATTTAGTAACTTAATAAAAACTGTGTTTTCATTTCAGATGTTTTGGAAACATGATTTGATTTGAGGCCAGTACAGGTTTTCCTCAGCGCACTGTGTGTACTGTGTGTACTGTGTGTACTGTGTGTACTGTGTGTACTGTGTGTACTGTGTCATTTATTTTGAACCGAGGAACCTGAATCATCTTGACTGTCATGTGACTTTAATTTCCTGTGAGCGCTGACAGATTTTCCTACAGGACAAACACTAACAAAGAGAGCTAGCTCCATTGTTCACCACACACCAGGGCCACTGCAGTGCCAACTGCTCCCAATTGAACGCTTCCTGCCATAGACGCTGCTTCAACCCCCACAGTCACCACCGAGCCGCCGTCGGTCGGTCGAGTTCATATTAGTTCAATTTATTACCACACGTTTGTGAGCAAAGCCAAAGTGGAACAAAAAAAGACTTTGGGGATTCACTCCGTCTGGCTGCGATCAAAGCCCGTGTTCATGTACCGACCTGCAGGAATGAGTGCGGTTCATTCTGCTGATTACGATCAAGAGAATCTGCCAGTGAT